AATTAAAAAAAAAAAATTATATATGTTTTTTAATATTTTCTGGATAATAAACATATAAAATTTTTATAATTAAAAAATTAAAAGCTGGGTGAGCAGGTCATTTTTTAAATTCATATGTTATGAAAAACAATTAATTAACTTTGTATGGCCTTATATGATAATAATTTTAAAAGATTAATATAATTTTTTTTTTTTAATGAATAGATATGATTCAACAATTGATGTATTCATATTTAGCTCAAGAATATAGTCCACTTGAGTTATCTTTTTATGAAAAATTGGTTTTAAATGCAATGATTAAAAATAGATAGGTATTTAGTTAGATAAAAAAAGAATCATCTATCGCTATGCTTAAATTTAAAAATTCTAATATTGTATTACCAAGTTGTTATACTCTTGAAGGGCGTATACTAAACAATGCTACTAAAGAACTTCATTCAGAATTAACTATAAAAGCAAATAATAATGTTGTTGGTGTAACATTAGCCTTTAATAGGTGGAAAAATATTTTAAAACAAAATATTTTTGGAACTGTACTTATTACGTCTTCTGGTGAAGTATTAGTTTGGGATATTCAAGATATTAGTGTAGAACGAGAGCAAATGGTTAATATAATACCTAAAATTATAACATTACTTGAAGATTTACAATCTAAACAAATTAAAGTTGCTGCTATAATTTCAGATTCTGCGTCAGCTTATGCAGTAGCAAGGTATATATATATATTATACTATTTTACTTATTTAATTAAATTATAATTTACTTAAATTACTAAATAAATATTTATATTTTAGATGCAATATGCATAAATCTTATCGTGAAATTGTTTTTTTACCATGTTTTGCTCACCAATTAAATTTAGTTGTTAGTGATATTTTTAAAGAAAATCATAAATTTAATAATGCTATTAAAAAAGTTATTGAAATAAGCAATTATTTTAATAATTCTATTCATTCTTACTTTATTGGTAAACTAAGTGATGAACAAAAAATAGCGCACAAATGATACATTGCATTAATTCGTCTAGATGATATACAATGGTGTAGTTTTTATAAAGCACTTGGTAGTTTTTTACGTTCAAAAGCATCTTTAATTGTAAAGTTTTATATTTATTTAAATTATAAGGTTTTATATTTATTTAAAAAGTATTATATAATTTCCTTATTAATATTTTATATTATAGTCTTTAGCTGCAAAATATGTATCTCCTGAAGATGATAATCTAACTTTACCTAGTAATATTTGTGAACCAATTGGTGATAATAATTGGTGGAATACAATATCAGAGTTACATATTTTACTTGCACCTTTAAGTCTTTGTCTAAATCAGCTTCAAACTGATACAGCTCGTCTTTATGAAGTATTATATACATATAGTTATATTTATAAGTTAGTGAATCAATATTCTGATGTTACTTTTAGCATTAAAATAACAGAACGTTTAGAAAGACGTTGGAAAGAATAGGAACAACCTTTATTAATTCTTAGTTATTTACTTCATTCTGATATTCACCTTACTCGATTTAATTTACCAATTGATGGTATTACATTTGCTGAAATGTGAAGATAGATTATATATTATTATTGTGCTTGGTTTGGAGATTCATCTAAAAAAATTATAGCTGAATTATAAGACTATCGAGATGAAGTATTCCCTTTTTCAAAAAATGAATGGAATCAATTTGAGGGAGATATTTTAAAATATTGGAAATACTGTGCTGAAATTTGTTATGAGCTTTCTTCAGTAGCATTAAGGCTTCATGGTATACTTATTAATAGTGTATCTGTTGAGAGGTTATTTTCATCTATAGGTTTTTTTCATACTAAAGAAAGAAATCGATTAAGTGTAAGTATAAATTATATTAAAAGGAAATAAGGCTTTAGACTTTTAAAATTATAACTTATTAGATTTAGTTATAATTTACTAAACTTAGTAAGGCTATTTGAGTTTAAAAATTTGTTTAAGGTTTTTTCCTACTTCGAATAACTACTTTTTCCTAAATTAAACAAGCTCAATCATAATATTTAAATCATATTATAATTATATATTATGTTAATATTCTGCAATTTAATTAATGGTTGTTTAAGCCTTCTCTCTCCTCGAACCTAAATTTAAAAAAAATGTTAAACGAATCTTCAAATTCAAATAGCCTAAGTTATAAATGTAAAAATCTAAATTCTGGTTTTTCCTTGCTATTATTTATTGTAAAGTTATTATTATTCATACTAACTTTAATTTATAGCTAGAAAAAGTTTTTAATATGAGTAAATTGCGTGCTTCAATGCTTTATAAAAATAGAATTGAAAAAATTAAAAATAATATAAATTTTATAAATTCTAATTTTGCACCTCCCATAACTAAGAGCCTAGAACTAGATGATAATGTTGAATTATCTAATAAAGCAAGTGGAAGTTATATTTCAAATGTAGCAGAATAGTCAGAAGTATTAGAAACCTGGTTTTCTATGGTAGATGAGGAAGAAGATATGAGCCAACTTTATGAAGATGAAGATGAGTTAGACATAGCTGATTCTACTACAAATTTAGTTGTACAAAATACAACTTATCCAGCTGATAATAAATTAGCTAAGTGGAAGTTAGAAGGTTTGTTTGTATCAGATTTTGTTGTACCACATTATATCATAGAGGCTAAAACACGAGAAGTATTAAGAAAACAAAAAAAGATAGAGTTTATTAGAAATGAGAGTACAGCTGAAAAAGAGAATAGGACTAAAACAGAAGATAGTTATGAAGATTCAATAAATAGTATTAGCGAAGAATTTATGGAAGAGGATTAGTTAAATAATTTTTTTATATGCTATAGTGAAAAGTTTTTTGGTCTTTAAGTGAATAAAAAATAGATAAATATAAATTTATTCTTCACATATCTTTTAACTATATACAGTACTAATATACTTACTATTACTTCTAGTTTGAA